ACAGGTGTGATATGAGTCTGTGTGGTGGCACCACTTACCAGCCACGCAGCCCGGTTCTGTGCCAGTTGCAGTTGCCGGACCGTCTTCAAAGGCTGCCCCACATATAGCGCATTGCAGTAGTCCAGTCTAGTTGTTACTAGTGCATGAGTGACTGTTGCCAGGCTCTGCTCATCCAGGTTAAGGGCAAAGTTGATATATTCTCCACAGCTGTAAGAAGACACCCCTGGACACCGAGTCCACCTGGGCTTCCAAGGTCAGACTGGGGTCAAGGAGCACCCCCAAGCTGCGGACCCTGTCCTTTAAGGGGAGTGTAATCCTATCTAAGGCAGGGAAATGGCCCTTTAACTTATCTGGAGGGGCATCTACCAGCAGCACTTCTGACTTGTCTGGATTCAGCCTCAGTTTACTGACTTTCATCCAGACCATTATCGAGTCCAGGCACAAGTTCAGAACAGTGACTGCCACATCTGGATTGGTAGAGAATGAGAGGTAGAGCTGGGTGTCGTCAGCATATTGCTGACTCCTCAGCCCAAACCTCCTAACGACCTCCCCCAGCGGTTTCATGTAAATATTGAACAGCATGGGGGACAATATAGAGCCCTGAGGAACCCCATGACGCAACCGCCATGGATCAGAGCTACTGTCCCCCAGCACCACCTTCTGGACTCGATCGGAAATATAATTGGGTTCAAGTCCTTCCACTGACTGCATTTTGCTCTACTCTTCCTATCCTGTTCCTTTACTTTCCTCGAGTGCTTTCCCCATCTGTCCTTGCTTTTCTGATGCCTGCTATCTGCTCCTATCTAATGTCTATCTTCTCTGTTTCAGAGGTAAGAAAAGTTACTTTTTTGGACTACAGCTTCCAAAATCTTCTAATGAGCATGGTCTGTGACTTTCTAAGCTGTTATTTGGAGTTTTGTGGGGTTTTAAATGTTAACCTGTAAACTGTCCAGAGTAGTGTTTGTACTAATGAGGTAGTATATAAATAAAATCAAATAAAATCTGTCTGACCAACTCATTCACTGAAGGGGTAAGGACCAATCCTGAAGAATTCAGACCCAACTCCCTGAAAGATCTAAACACTCTAAGAAGGTACAAGATCTCTCTAACAGAGGAATATGAAAGTACATGTAAGCAGCCTTTTAGTACTGCTTCATTTGAAACACATATTCAGCATAAGTACATGCTTTTTCCAACTTTATTCTCAATTTTATTTGTTGTTATTGAACCAGTACAATTTATGCTTTATATACATATAGGTAAATTTTTACTTCAGCTTGTGCCAATACATAACATATCATCTTGATAATATTAGCTATAAAAAACACACACAAACAAACAGGGAGAAGCTCCTGATTAGTTTTTTTAAGGACATCGTCTAATTCTTCGAGGTCTGGACAGAGATATTGAAATGATTGGACTTGTCACTGATATAGATGCTTAGCCAGATTCTAGAATTCTTGTCCCAGTTTTTATGATACCACAAGGAAAGAAGAGGTAATAGTTTACAACCAACCATAGATGAAAGACTGGAAAATACACCTAGCTGTAGGAGCAAATAAGCTTAGAAATAAGGTGATGATGATATGGACATGACTAATATCTGGGGAATTAGAGCAAATAGAACTGCAGGAAGCAAACTTAGTCCATTTTTTCTCATATATGGTGTGTACATATCAGGTGTACATATCAGGTTACAGACCTCTTTATAAATCTTTTCTCTCCAATTATGAATGGATCAGGCTCTCCTATACCACACTGGCATCATTTAATCTGAAGATGGGTGATAGAAATGCCAAATAAATGAGCAAGAAAGAAATATCCAGAGATTAATCAGATGTGTCCTCATTCATCTGTCCTTATCTAAAAGCACAAAACCATGTGCTCACAGATTACATTAAGTATGTGTGTGCGCACAGGCCTCCAACTGATCTTATAAGATACCAATTACTGAATATTGGCATCACAAAAATAAAACCACTGTAACATTTACAAATCTATTGTTCTAGCTCTTCAAAAGTCAATCAAAGTTATTTTTCTGGAGCCATTTCCAGCCCTCAGAAAGGAAGGAGGAAAAATATGACAAATCCACATAGCTACCTATGCATTTTATGGGAATAAAGGACACATGAGCCATCAAATTAAGACTTTTACACAGAATGGGCTAAATCAAAACAAAAACATCTATGCTTTAAAGGAAGAGACTAAATCAGGCCAGCCGGAAATTTCAATTCAGAAGCCAAGCACCTTAAACTTTGAAACGGATTTCTGAAAATTCATGATTAAATTTCTGCTGCCTTAACCAACTACGTGATGGCAGCCTTCTATTCACCATCAAATAAAGCAATTCAGTATCTGGGCCTCTTTCACATTAGCCAGCATACCCCAAGTGCAGAAGACACACCAAACCTGTTTCAGGAGTCAGTGCTGAGCTAGCTGGTCTACACACAGGATTTCTAGAAAATCCAAGATTGCAGCTGCTGCCATCTAACACTTAGATGACTGCTACAGATTCATATAAGGACGACAGTAACAGGGTTTCTTAATTTTACAAATATTTTTAAACATTTCCAGTTTTAAAAGATACCAGTATTTTCAGTGCTTGACATATAGGGGAACAGGTGGGGAGGAGATCAGGGAGACTCAGCAGGAAATACAGGATGATCTAAATCAAACAATAACAAATATTGTATTATACATAGATTCCATCACCACTTCCCTAACACAGATTTGAAGATAGAAGAAATATACCAGGAAGGGCTGAATTACTTCCATCAAAAAGATACTACGACAAAGCAACCTATCCGGGAAGAGGCAATAGTTTAATGGTGATGTCTTTAGGAATGGCTTTTGTTTTCTTCCATGCTTGCTACACACTATTGCCAAATACACTGGTACATTCTACTATACGCTTCAGGCTGCTAGCCAACCTGCCCAGCTAAGATCACAACTTCTGTGGGAGACCTAGAAAAGAGAAAGGGAGCCACACCCAGCAAGAAAACCCTCATCTGCTCAGCCTTCTCTTAACTCACATGGCATCCATTTACTTCTATTCCACAGTGGCAGCTATGAAGCAGGAGGCACACTTATATAAGTCAACCACCGCCTGTCTTCTGTTCGTCTAAAGTTAACCAAGGGCAAATTCTGAAGCATCTTCCCACAGGTCCTTGCACTTCGGTTGCATGAGAGAAAACCACAAGTGTCGATGCAAATGCAAACATTAACGAAAACAGGAGAATTGTCCAGAAATCATGTTTCAACAAAAGAGCTAAGTAAATCAGCTCACTCCTGTCCCATTTTGGGTCCCGTGTGCCTTGGTCATTGATCCATTCTTACTTGAGCAAGTCAACATTCTTCAGAACTGGACCCAATTGGGAGGCTGGGGAGATTGGCTGGGAGCTGTGCTGGAGGAAAAAGGCAGTGAAGTGTTAATGAGGAAACTGGCAGTCCCTGGCACTGGTTTAAGGTGATGCTATGGACCCTTTAAAGCCCTTACACAGCTCTCCACCATATACCTACTCAACATGGAATCAAATTATGAAAGGGGCAACAACATCCTTTATTATGGCTATTACAGGCCTATGACAGCAGTTTACCACAGGAGAAACAGTTGTGCATGTGTCACTCGTTTGGTTTAGGAAGAAATACAAAGCCTATCTATTTCATAAAATCACAGAAATTGTGGAGTTCAAACATAGGCCAAAGATCATCTAGTCCAACCCTCTGCCAATGCAGGTGTGGAGGCTGGTTGGTTCAGAGGCTGTCTCTTAATCTACAAGCTTGTTTATCTATTTGATTATTTATATAATTTTCCAGTTTTTTTTAATTGAGTTTGCTTGTTGTATCTTCAATATTTGTATTTTAAAAATATCTTAACTATTTCTCTACCTCCAGTTTTAGAAATGTCCTTCAGGAACCTTGTAACCACCCATGACATCTGCATTTCTCATACATTCCTGGGGCTAAAAGCCTTACTCATATTTTTCATAGCCAGTTACCTGGATGCAGTGTTGAAATCTCCCCAAAGGTCTGTGGTGGCTGGAACCACAGCAGGCGCAGACACTTTTGAAATGGGAGGCGGCAAGTCAAAGTCTAGCAGAATATCTGGCAGATGAAAGAGACAGACATTCATCTATTATACTTTTATACTGGAAGCAGCCCTACTGTGGTTTTCTATCTGGTAAGGATCAGGTCCACATCTGCTGAGTCTCACAAATGGTGCAGCAACAGTTATCTCTGCATTGTTCTCAGGATGAAGAGACACTGGGCTAAAGATAACTAAAAGCTCTGTGTACTTTTTTAGCTGCCCTGGCATGTCTGAGTGCTCAGGAAGTGTGTTCTTTATTATTTTACTTTGTTCTTTATCACAGTGCTTGAAGTTATGCAAATATTGTCCCCTTGTTGCAGAGGGGTAATAACTTACCTATCCTACCTAGTGAGAGTGTGGCTGAAATGAAATTCCAATGGGGGAGGAGAGCTTTCCATTGTATAACTCAATTTCTTTCCCAGTCTCTACTCTTTTCACATTCAAAGCCTGGGCAGCCCCACCCTTACCTTTCTGGTATGCATACAAGAGTTACCTGAGTTGCCTGCACTGCTGGATTTCAGCACAGGTGGTGGTGTGACATGATTAGAAATGGCAGTTGAGGATGGAGGAGGGACAGGCGGGGAAGCAGTTTTGCCTCCAGGTGGTGGTGGGAGCAGGCTTAGACCCCCTGATCCAGCTGGACGCGGCTTGGCTGCACCACTTTTCTTGGTTGGCATGTTCTGTCAAGAGAAACACAGAATCAACAGGTATATTTCAAACTAACAGTGGTTTCACCAGACAAAGCAATGGCCAAGCCAGGAACCACGGCCAATGAAATTCTCACCCCAATGTTCAACTTAATGGTCTGTCCTTCCTTAAACCCGAGGTCAAGCTTGGGACGGTTGTCTGTCTCCTGGGACTCCTTGGAGATTTCTGTCTCTTGTTTCACCCACCTACGTTTGGAGAGTAAGAGGTTAGAGAGAACAGTTGCTACAGAAAAGGAAAGACTGATTTTGGGAGACAAGGAGAACTCCCCAACATGTTTTCCTTCCCAACAAGTAGCACGCCGAAGCAACCGCATACTGGCAAGAAAACTACTGTTACTTCTCACACCTGTATTGCACCCTCCATCTGGAGAGTTCAAGGATAGTTTACATTGATGTGTGTGTGTGTTTTAGTCTCACAATTTTGGAACGAGATGATCTGTCACTGATTGATGGGTGTTGTTAGCTAGTCTATTTATTTATTTGATTTTTATCCCACCCTTTTAGACAAAGTCTACTCTGGGCAGGTTCCATCAAACATTATAAGCTAAAACAGTTAAAAACAATTAAAAACAATTTTAAACAAGTAGTGCTCAAGATGGGAAAACAGAATTATAGTAAAAATAAAGTCAAGTATTGACAGAAGGGAAGGAAATAAGCTGAGAGAAAACAATCAGCCAAAGATCAGCAGGGAAACCTCCTAATTCTGCAGCATTTTAAACCCACATAGCCACAGTCAACATTCTAACCCATCTCCATGCAAGAGCACAATAAGAGCTTTTTAAAAGCTTAATTGATGTATGCAAGGCACAAGAGGAGAGGCTGTAGGTGAGAAAGAAAGAGTTAACCTGTCCCCAACACACTGCAATCTGCTGCAGTTGCCCTGATATGTGCAGCAATTAGTTTGCAAAACAAAACACTTCTTGTTGGCACAAAGTGGAATATTTTCTCTCTCTTTTTTGCAAATTCTTGCAGCTGCTCAGGGTACAGAGAGGAAAGAGGTCAAAAAGTTGAGGAGGCAATGGGAAAGGAGAAGAAACAGAGAGAGAAACTGTATGAGTGAAAGGTACTGTATAAGCGTGAGAGATGGGGCACTTCTGGCCTTGTCAACTGCTAGCCTGCATCATACCACACCTTTTGGCCATAGGAATGTTGTCACCCCACAGATTTTAGTCTTAGCTGGAACATGATCACATGAATGGCTATTTAATCAAAATCTGCAAGTGTAAAGAGGCAAAGCAAATGTCCTGCTGTACAGCACTTGAGATGACTGACTTACCAGTTGCATCTGAAACATTCTAGTACTGCCCATTAATCACTATCAATTTTTTTTAGTGATGAAGACAGACATTTACCATTAGAATGAGCTTTTGCTAAGGACCAACAACTATGTGGGTACAACCAGGATTCAGTAGAACAGTGGTTCCCAACTTTGAGTAAGCTAGGTATTCTGGGACTCCAATTCCCAGAAACTCTGGCCAGAACAGCTAGTGATGAAGGCTTCTGGGAATTGCAGTCAAAGAACACCAGGGTTATCCAAGGTTGGGAACCACTGCCGTAAAAGAATACAGTGGACCCTCGACTTACAGACGGCTCGACTTACAGACTTTTCGAGTTACAGACTTCTCTGGCTGCAAAATTTAGGTTCGACTTGCAGCCAGAGAATCGACTTACAGACCAGAAAAAAGCCAAAATGGAACAAAAACAGAACAAAAACGTTCGGTTATGGATTAATCGGTTTTCAGTGCATTGTAGGTCAATGGAGACTCGACCTACAGACTTTTCGACCTGCAGCCATCATTCCAATACGGATTAATTCCGTAAGTAGAGGGCCCACTGTATGTACTTTGGATCTGAGCCTCTGGCATGCAAGCTGTGGATTCTCCTGTTAGAAAGGATCTTGAACAGTAAGGGTGGAGAAAGTTTCTGCTCAAGCGCTTGGACAGCTGCTTCTAAACAATGCTAGATGGCCCAAAGATCAGTGAGAAAAAAGTAACCCCAGGAGTCAAGTGCCAGTGCAGAAGAAAACTTACTTGAAGTGATCCTGCAGGGCAACATTGAAGTCAAAGGCATCTCCTCTGTCGCCAAAGCCAATGCCAATGAAGGCACTTCGCCCTAATAAGGGAGATGAAGCATATGATCAGCAGAAATGAGTAACAAAGATCAAAAAAGATAATCTTCCTGATTACTTTAAACACCAGGTATACTGCTGGAACCATCTCTGGTTTATGAATGTGGGATATTGTATTTCTGTACACCCAATTCAGAAAGAAAGCCAGAAAATGACCCAATATTGCTGGATCATTTCCTGGCTTTCTTTCTGAATAGGGTGTAAAAGTATGCCAAGCTTTACACAGCAAATGGCAGCCAGATTGTTGACAACACCAATGGAAACAGTCAAGATGGTCTCTGCAGGATACTCTTTTCTGCTCACTACCATTCCACGAAGTGACACCACATAAGGGAAAATCACAGAAAATAACTCATTTTTTCATCACAACCACTTCTTAGCCAACAACAAAGCAATCGTCAGGGCTGTTTTTCACCAAGTGTGAATGGTAGCTCATGGAATGCTGAATCCTGTTGTCAGGATAATGTATCAGTTCCCTTCCAGGCACCAATAATTAAAAGAGACTGACTCCTCTTTAGTTTCCTTTACCTTCGATCTTTTACTTTCCTCACTTGGTATCCGCATTTTGCCAACTTGTTCCCATTTGTCAGCATCTTTCTTGAAGTGTGGTGTCCAGAACTGGACACAATACTCAACATGAGGCCTAACCAGTGCTGAACAGAGAGGAACTAGTACCTCATGAGACTTGGATACTGTACTTCTGTTAATGCAGCCTAAAATAGCATTTCCCTTTTTTGTAGGGAACCATCACACTGTTGGTTCATATTCAGCTTGTGATCTACAATGACTTCATGATCCTTCTCGCTCATAGTTTTGCTGAGCCAGCTATCCCCCATCTTGTAACTGTGCATTTGGTTTTTTTTTTCAGAAGTGCAGTACTTTGCACTTATCCCTGTTGAATTTCATTCTGTTGTTTTCAGCCTATCAAGATCATTTTGAATTTTATATCTGCCTTCTAGGGTATTAGCTATTCAACCCAATTTTGTGTCATCCACAAATATTATTAGCATTCCCTGTATCACCTGATCCAGGTCATTAATAAAAATACTAAATAGCACTGTGATCAGGACTGACTCGAAGGGTACCTCATTTGTTACCTCCTCACAGTCTGAGAAGGAGCCATTAATCATCACCCTTTGAGTATGATTCTGTGGTTAACTGTACATCCACCTGACACTTAGAGTGGTCCTGAGTTGACTAGATAGGCGGGATATAAATAAAATAAACAAACAAACAAACTTGTTCTATTTAGCCAACACCTAGTTAGGTTGCTAATCAGGAGATCATGGGACACTTGGTCAAAATCTTTGCTGAAGTCAAGATACATGATCTCTACAGCATTCCCCCTGTCTATCAGGGAGGTTACACAATCACAAAATGAAATCAGAGTAGTCTGGCAGGATTTCATAGAATCACAGAGTTAGAAGAGACCACAGGGGCCACTGGGTCCAACCCCTTGCCATGCAGGAACTCCATCAAAGCACTCCTGACAGAAGGACATCCAGCCTCTGCTTAAAAACCTCAAAAGAAGGAGACTCCACGACACTCCGAGGCAGCATATTCCACTACATACCAGCTCTGTCAGAAAGTTCTTCCTGAGATTGAGGTGGAATCTCTTTCCCTGTAGTTTGAAGCCATTGCTCCGTGTCCTAGTCTCTGAAGCTGTGGAAAGCAAACCTGTCCCTTCCTCAACACGATATCCCTTCAATTATTTAAACATGGCTATCATGTCCCCTCTTAATCTTCTTTTTGTAAGGCTAAACATTCCCATCTCCCTAAGACGCTCCTCATAGGACATGGCTTCCAGACCTTTAACCATTTTGGTCACCCTCCTCTTAACACATTCCAAGTTGTCAACATCCTTTTTGAACTGAGGTGCCCAGAACTGGACACAATACTCCAGGTGCGGCCTGACCAAAGCAGAATAGAGTGGTACTATCACTTCCCTTGATCTAGAGTCAGAATAGGAGTATTGATTCAACCTGCTGACCACACTGCTCAGTTTGTGGTCTACCAAGACTCGTAGATCCCTTTCATACGTACTGTTGTCCAGCCATGTGTCTTCCACCCTATATCTGTGCTGTTCATTTTTTTCTGCCTAGGTGTAGGACCGTACATTTCTCCCTGTTGGAATTCATTTTTTCAGTTTTGGCCCAGGAATCTAATTTGTCAAGGTCATTTTAAATTTTAATCCTATCCTGTGGGGCAGTGGTCCCCAACCTTGGGCCTCCAGATGTTCTTGGACTACAACTCCCAGAAGCCTACACAATCACCTCTTCTGGCCACGATTTCTGGGAGTTGAAGTCCAAGAACATCTGGAGGCCCAAGGTTGAGGACCACTGCTCTGGGGAATTAGTAACCCCTCCCAGTTTGTTCTTGACAAATCCATGTTGGTTTCCAGTTCTTTTTGCTTTGTTTTCAAGGTGTATGCATAGTGACCACTTTATAATCTGTTCCAGAATTTTCCCTGGAATTGATGTCTGTAGTTCCCAGGTTCCTCCTTTTTGCCATTTTTGTAGTTATGGAAAACATTAGCCCTTCTCCAATCCTCTGGCACCTCACCTGTTTCCCATGATTTCAAGAAAAATAATGGACAAGTGGTTCTGAGAGTTCTTCAACCAGTTCCTTCAATACTCTTGGATGCAGTTTATCCAGCCCTGGAGATTTGAACTCATTTAAGGTAATAAGATATTTCTTGACTATTTGTTTAGCAATCTTGTCTCTTCCACCTACACTTCACATTTGTCTAGACTGGGTTATAGTCCATCTTTTGGGAAAAAACTGAGCTAAAATAGAAATTGAGCATTTCCGCCATTTTTTTGTCTTCTCATTTTTCCATCTCCATTACGTAGCTGAGTCACTGTTTCTTTTCTTTGTCATAAATATTTAAATAATGCTTTTTTGTTGCTTTTAGTGTCCCTAGCTAGCCCCAGCTCATTCTCAGCTTTTGCCTTCCTAATGCCATCCCTGCAATTCTATGCTAGTCTGTATTTTTCATTTGTGGAAAAATATGTGTCCCATATGTGTCTTTTTTTTGTTTTCAGATCCTCACTGAGCTTTTTGTGAAGCCACATTGGCCTTTTTTTGCTGTCTCATCATTTTTTCTTGTTGGAATTGCTTGTAACTGTGACTCTATAATGTCCTTTTTTGGAAGCTCCAACCCTTCTTGGACTCCTTTTCTTGTTAGGATCTCTTGCCATGGGATTTTCTTTATCCTTGTTCTGAGTTCATTAAAACTGACTTTTAAAAAATCCAGCATATACTGTATGTCTGTCTACACTCTGCTCTGGTTTCCTTTGAAATCAAGAATTCTAGTAGAAAATGGTCACTCTCACTCAGAGGTCCCCTTTCTGCCACTTCCTCCATCAAGTTGCCTCTATTCGTTATAATCAGGTCAAGGATAACTGGTCCTCTAGTTTCTTTCTCCCCTTTTTGTAGGAGAAAATTATCAGCCACACAAGGCAGGAATATTTTGGAAGGGCCATACTTGGTAGAATTTGCCTCCCAACAGATATAAGGATAATTGAAATCTCCCATCACTACTACATTGTGTCTCTTTGAAATGCTTCTAAATTGTTTTTCAGAAGTTTCATCCACATCATCTCCTTGATTGGGCGGTCAGTAGTAAACTCCAAGTACCATGTTCCTTTTGTTTTTCACCCCAACTACATCAATACAGATGTTCTCAAAGGGATAGCCAGTACCCTTCTCCTGTATTTCTGTGCAAGAATGTGTTTGAGACTTGGTTAATCTAGCAATGCCATTAAATTTGTTTTTACTTTACATATATACTTACATATACAGTTGTGCCTCACTGAACGGGCGCTCCGTTCAGCGACGAAACCGCATAGCGACAAAGATTTTGTGATCGCAAAAGCGATCGCATTGCAATGTTTTAAATGGTTTTTTTTCGCTTTGCGATGATCGGTTCCGTTTCGCTTACCGATCATCACAAAGCGATGGTTTTTTAACAGCTGATCGGCGGTTCCAAAATGGCCACTGGGTAAAACAAATGGCCGCCCGCTGTGTTTAGGGACGGATTCTTTGCTTAAGAGGGAGCGAAAATGCCGCCATATGGAGGATCTTCGCTTTAAGGTCAGTTTTTTGCCCATAGGAACGCATTAAACAGGTTTTAATGCATTTCTATGGGCTTTTAAAAATCGCATAGCGATGAAATTGCTTTGCAGCGATTTTTGCTGCACGGATTAATGTCGCTATGTGAGGCATCACTGTACATGTACTCCTCCAGTTGTTCATAATCCCACCTGTACCTACCTCCTTGCCATTCTGTCACATTCCGCTAAAGAGTCCCCTTAATTTAGGATCTCCTTAGGACTACTCAATTTCAGCTGAGGAGCAATAAGTATTTTCTCACCATTTCCATCCTGTATTCGAATGACGAAATATCGGCTGGAATCAGTCACAGTCTCCACAGCAATGCCTGGATACTGATCAATTGGTGCCTGAGCAAAAAGCTCTCCTAAGAACACACAAGAAAAGCACCAAGTTGAGAACTCTATTCATCAATGTGGAGATGATATATTCAAACTAATTCATGAGTTTAAGGGCCATGGGCCAATTTGCATGCAATAATCTGTATTATTTTCATAAACATGGATTTCTAAAACTGAATGGATCAATTGTTTGTAGCAAAGATTATTACATTAGAACAGCCATTTAAGGCATGAGCCATCAATGAAATGCTGCAATTATACTACATTTACATTTTAGTTCATACTGTAGTATTTTGTACCTGCACAGAATTTTTTATTCTATCCAATGTGTCCATTTCAGTCTGTAAAAACACTTGATAGCTTTTTAGTAGCAAATGTTCACCATATGATCCTTTAACATACTTTGTTCATAAAATACAGACAGCTCTCTCTGTGGGTCACCACCACCACGTAACATAGCAAGAAATATCACGACACAGATTGCAGTATCTAGTGTAGCATAGCAGACAGAGGAAGAGTAGGTCCGTGGTTCAGTGGTTTGGTGTAGTTTAGTGGAGCAGGCCCACAAGTGTTGCACAGGCGTCATGGATTCCATGCCCCGCCTCCTCCCATAGGTGCCCCTTCAGAAACAGTGCCACAGGCTTCCTTGTTCTGCCTTCTTGGCCTGATCATGCCAAATCACTTTAAGTGCCCATCGCTACTTAGCAGACCTGAACTGAACTCTTTCCTTGATAACGGAAACTCACCAGACTGTTTCTGTGTTAAATTGGGGTCCTAATAAATGACCCTTTCTAGATACTATTCCACACACTCAGAATAGACCCTAAAGAAAAACATGAGAGCTGCGGATTTGTCTACAGCTTAATAATTATGTTTTTTTAGTTGTGAAATTCAGACTATTTATTTGCATGACACCTTTCTCAGATGTCATGGTCATATGCAAACCTGACCTCCTATTGGGACACAAGGTCTACAGAAAATCTACCCACACAGACCGGCACCCACACGAAAACTCCAATCACCACCCACAAAAAAAAGAGAGGCATAATCAAAACACTGGTAGACCATGCAAATCAGAACTGTGAAGCTCAATTACTCAGCACCAAACTCAACTATCTGAATTGGGCCCTACGGGCAAATGGCTATTCTAAGAATGAAATCACAAGAGCCATCAAACCAAGAAAACAACACCAAACTGAAGAGGAAAAACAGCCACCCACAAATAAAGTATTTCCGCCATACATCAAAGGGGTCACGGACTGCATGGGGAAACTTTTGAAAAAACACAACCTACAAACAGTATTCAAGCCCACCACAAAAATACAACAAATATTATGGTCAGCAAAGGACAAAATGGACCCCCTCACCACTGCAGGAGTATACCGGATACCTTGCAGTTGAGGCCAGGTATATACTGGAACCACAAAATGAAGCATCCACACCAGAATCAAAGAACATGAGAGATACTGCAGACTAAAACAGCCAGAAAAATTGGCAGTAACTGAACATGGCCTCAAACAATCTGGACATGAAATTCTATTTCGAAACACAGACTGGACAACACCGGCAATCATTATGTTAGACTGCACAGGGAAGCCATTGAAATCCACAAACAACAGCAAAACTTCAACAAAAAAGAAGAAAGTCTAAAACTCAACAAAGCCTGGCTCCCAGCACTGAAAAACACAGCCTGCAAAAGGTCAGTGAACTCTACCAAGCCACAAGGACCAGTGATCACTGCACACAAAAGTCCAGCTAACGACACCCATCAATCACATGACAAATCATCTCCCCCTATCACAACAATACACCACAACAAAAAAACACCCTGATCACCATAATCGCCCAATCTCCTGAAAAGGACAAAAAGCTGATCCCACAGCTATAAATACCCAACTATCCCACAAAACTGCACCAGAGCACAGACTGAGTTCTGACTCCTGTCCTCTGAAGATGCCAGCCAGAGACTAGCGAAACATTAGGAAGAAAAACCTCAAGAACATGGCCAGACAGCCTGAAAAACCTACAATAACCATTGGATCCTGGCTGTGAAAGCCTTTGAGAATATATTTATTTGCACCTTTAAAATTCTCTAAAATCTTCTGGGTACCTTCAAAAACTATATTCTTGCTTTTGAATATGAACAATGTGTGGTGCAACACTCATTCACAAATTTTATTGAGAATACTTAAGGTATATAAATACATATAAAGTAATAAGTCAAGATTTAAGAACACAAACATACTTTGTGGGCAAAATCCTGTTGTACAGAGTTATGTAGGCACATACCAGAAATATTTAATAAAAAGAAATTGAATAATGTATCTGCTCCCTTCAGGTTCCAAGGGTTCCTTTTGCCCTGGGAGTCTTTGTTACCCTTGGAAGGCATATTTAATAATAGGGATGTGCATTCAGATTTTAAAATATTCAGAATTCACCAAATAATAATTATGTCTGTCTGCACCAATGAAACCAAGAAGCAAGCACAGAAACCAGAAAGTACTTTTTTCATATTGGTTCTTTCAAATTGAATGGTGGGCATAGCTGCTTATAAATCCCCTGAGCCTCTGCTCTAATGGAAGCCCTGCAGCCGTTTTCTCTGTGTCCTTTTCTGAACCCTAAACGTACATTTACATTCTCTCATATTCTTTACCCTTCAGGGTATATTAGGCAAGGAAATAAGACTTTGTTGCATAGAAACAGCTCTATTAAGTTAACAGATTTTGTGTCACTGTGTGTGTGCTTCTTATTGGAAGGGTTTGTGTTCTGCTGTACAGAAATTAGACACTGTTCTTTGAGTAGAATCTGTAGGCAGCATGAAACATGGGTTTGTTAGAAGTCGAAGGCACTTGGGGAGGGCTGCAGGAATGCTGCTTGCAACCACTGCAGCAGCTTCTACTGAGAGGAAGAGAGAGCGGGAGATGGAAAAGTCTGACTACAATTGCTGTTATGAGCCCTTCAAACAAAATCTGACATCCAGAACTGATACTATGAAAGAACAGCAGGCAGTAGTATATTGCATGTGTCTGCCAAGGAGGTGGCAGAGAAACTTATGGTTCAGGGTGACGTATTTCTGCCATCCAACCAGGATCAAGGGGGCAAAAAAAAAAAAAGTAAAAAGGGCACTATTCTTCCAAAGCGCTGATGTGCCAGAGAAGGATATCAGCATCCAGACCAACAGTGTCAGCTTGGGCAACAGCAGTGCTGTTCAGAGAGAGTTATGAAGAGCACTAGACATTTATTTGTTTGTTTGATTGATTGATTTATACCCCACCCATCTGGCCTATAAGACCACTCTAGGCGGCTTCCAATATAATATAAACAATAAAATACAAAATATTGCATAAATCATACTATAACAAATACAATTCAAAGATAGAATAGAAAATAAATATCTATACCATGCAGCTCCATCAGATTCAAGAAATGATTTACCCTTAGCACCCCTTCCCAGCAAATCTCTCCAATGCAAATCAGCATGGTGGTTGGTGGGAACTCCTCTTCAAGTATATATACATATGAGGTGGGGAAGAAGGATACTGAGGGGACTTGGGTGGGTATTATTTCCAAAGAATGTGACACTGAAATTGCCCTGCCCCTCCAGTTGCACTTGCCCCACCAGCTGCTAGAACTAGTAGTGATGACAAGTTAGCAATTCCTGTGAGGAACAGGCAGTCAAAAACTGGAGCTCCCGAAAACTCAATCGTCTGGAAGCATTTTCAGCAGTGTATGATAGAAGCTCACATGGCTGAAGGTGATTAAGTGTGGGGAGGACTTGGGCCACCTCTCCAACAGAAGCATGCTCAGTCACTTGAAGACCCAGCACAGGGCATTGGTGCTGGCAAATGAAGTGGATACTGTGGGGGGCAAGTGAAGGTTAAGGGCAGAGGTTGAGCCACCAGTCAAGGGAAGCAGTGAGGTAGATGGGCAAATAGTAAGAGGTGGGAGGCAGCAAATGCCAGAAAAAATTCTAGGCTACCTGGAGGCGCTTGAATGGGTGCAAGAAAAGCCTTTCTGCCATGCAAAAATGCTAGGATTACTTGTCACCTAGGGAAGATGACCAGTCATTCTCTCTGGCAGAGACCACTTTTTCCTTTAGGTTTGTGGTACCACATTAACAATTACCATCCTGAATTACGCTTAACCACAGAGTGGTAGCAGATTTTTATATTGGGATGTCAGACAACTAGTACAGAAGCAGGGCACAGGTGGTAGATTTGACAAGTGGCATCTGGAATAACCAGGGTGCAAAATATGCTTATCACTTCCTAACAGGACACTGGTGGGAGTTGGAGACATCAGGCATAGAGTAACACACAAGGGCAGAATACAGGTGGGCCCTGTAAGATGTGGCTGTGATGGAGGTCAGCCACACAGCTCAGAACATTCAAAGGGCTGTGAAAGACATGCTGCAGCAGTGGAGTCTAGCAAGGTCTGTTTGTCATAGATAATGGACATGGTGATGGCACTGCAGGGTGGGAAGATGAAATGGGCTGCGGTGTATGGCCCACACTCTCAACCTAGTTGTTCAAGGTGTTTTGCAGGGTATGGAAGATGCATGCATACTTAATATAACTGAGTGGGCAAGAAAGGTGGCAGGGCATTTTCATCAGTGTCTGACAGTCAGCTGTTGCAGCAGAGGCAAGCAAAACTGAGATTGCTACAGAACCTGATCCAGAATATGGCAACTGAATAGAACTCCATTTTCTAGCTCCCTGAAAGAGTGCTAGAACAGCAAAGGGCACTTGACAATTTGGCACTGGAATCTTCCACTGGTGTGGCTACTCCTTTGGAGAGAGAAGACTGGAATATTGTGGGGGAAGTGTTCTATGTTCTCCAAAACTTTGAAAGTACAACACTGGTCCTTAGTGGGGAGACTGCCATCCTTAGCCAGATGATCTCAATTCTTCAGGGCTTCGTTGGCATTATGGAGGGTATAAGGAGGGGAGAGCCTATGTAGATGGGGGATTCCACATAGCAGTGATTTCCAACCTTGGATAACCCAGGTGTTCTTGGACTGCAACTTCCAGAAGCCTTTGCCACCAGCTGTGCTGGCCAGAGTTTCTAGGTGTTGCAGTCCAGGAACACCTGGGTTATTCAAGGTTGGAAACCAGTGCCACAGAGAACTTTTTTTTTTTCTGACCTGAAGTGGTGGCCATGGCCAGCAAGCTGAAGGGCCTGTACCACTACAGTTTGCCTTCTTTGGAAGGAGTAGTATATTCTAGCAACTCTCTTGGACACCTGAATAATATCCAGGCAATGGATATTAAGCAGCAGCAAGTGAGAGAGCAATGCCAACCAACTTTCTACCACATGCAGAGCTGCTAGTGAAGAAAGTCTGGCAGTCACTGAGGGGTCGTATAGAGCAGGAAGAAACTAGAAATGTTCATAGCATCCCAAGCAGAAGTACCAGCAGTTGTATTCTAGAGCCCAAGTCTCTTTCTTACCCCTGCAACTACAGGAAAAGCTTTCTTGAACACCGTCTTGACAAGCATGGAAGGGGACTGGCCTTTAGAGACACTCCTCCAGAGGAAGGACATGGCAGAGGCAGAGGCAGACATAAGAGACTGCAAGCCAAAAGAGACTGATCCCTTGTTTATTGGGCTGAGGAGTCTGTTTGACGAGATCTGGCCAAGGTGCCAGTGGGATTGCTTTTTTGCCCACCAACTAGTGTGTTCAATGAGAGTGTGTTCACTGAGGCAGGGGACACTGCCAGCCCACACTTCTCATGCCTGGAACCTTGTTCTGTAGAATAACATGTTTTCCTTAAGGTCATCCTACCATTGCTGGGCTTCCCTGAAGTCCACTTGAAGAGAGAATGACACACTCTGCTTAAAGTACTAGGCATGCCATGCTTCTGTCTGCTGCCCTCTCTTTCTGGCTCTTTCATTCTTCCCACAGCTACTCCAAGACTACCCTTGCTCACTCAACTAGGTTGTGCCCCATGCTGCTGGCATTTCCTGTTGCCATTCCCACTGTTCAAGGTTCAGTCAGTATGCCCATTGCAGTCATTTCCTAATGACAGGGAAATCCTTGCTGGGTAAAATAATATGGAGGATAGGTTGTTACCCAAGCAGCAAATCCCCCCTCTCCACGTCACTGAAATAGTCCAATGGAAAGGCAAGAGCCAATACAACTGCTTTCAGCAACGTCGCAAGAGTTGCCAGAATGACACGAACTGCCTCCGGGACTCCAGCTCTGGATTTTGCCTCGAGGTTAACTCCTGAAGCCTTTTCCATCAGTGGATATAGCCACAAGGCAGTCAGAGTTTTCCTTATCCTAGATGGCTGCCTTCCAGGGCTGAACGAGTCCCACCTACCCGGACTGTTCCCTCATGGCATGGACAGCGGTGGAGGCAGCTCAGTGGGGGCTTGAAATCAGAGTCCCACCTACCCGGCCTGTTCCCTCATAGCATGGAGGCGGATAGCGGTGCCTCACTGGGGGTTTGAAGTCGGAGCGCTCCCTCCCCCAGACAGGCTGCCCTCCAGGGCCAAATGAGTACCCCTCAGTACTCAATGGCTAGACTAACTGGAAGAACCACACTCACTAGGTAGGACAACATTAAAAACATGCAAGATAACATCACACCAGTAAAGACAAAGACAAATTGCAATGAACTTACAGAAATAAAGCAGTTACTACTGAAATCAGCTACATTTGAACATACCCCACAAGACTCCTTTACCTCAATCACCATGTTTTCTGGATTACAAAATATCCACCTGAAAATTCCTCACCTGAAACTTTGTCTTCTAGTTTTATATATGCAATTTTGCCTTTAGAAGTTATACGGAGTCGTCCTGTCCAGTCTGGTTGATCCAGTTTCCAATCAGAGGCCCTGCAGGGAAAATAAACATTGAGATATTTCTTGGTAAGTGTCCCTTCTCAGCCTTTCTCATAGTCCCAATGTGGCCTTCTCAGCCAACTCTACCACAGTACTGAGTCACAGCAGATGTAACTCATTCCCAGAGAACCCGGAGTATGAAGCAAAGCAAAGCATGCTGCCTATACAGTATACCGTCCCATAGTGCTTAAGCACTCTCTGGATGGTTGACAAGTTACTTATGCAGGCTACACATTGCCCAACCCCAGGAAGCTGGGTACTTATTCTACTGGCCTCAGAAGGATAGAAGGCTCAGTCCACCTTGAGCCGGCTACCTGGGATTCAACCCCGGGTCGTGACCAGTTTGTGGCTGCAGTACAGCAGTTTAACCACTGTGCCATGAGGCTCCAATAAGGTGTTTGGTCACCCATGTTTATGGCCTTTTGCTTTCAAGATACCAGAAGATAATGTAACTGCTGACCAATTAACCTTGTTCTTTAACCACTAATCTATCCCCTCTCTTAGTCTGCTGGGAAAAATTCTAGTTTTTATGATAGAGTTAACAGTTTGTCAGACAAGGAGTGGAGTGATTCATTTACAAAGTTCCACCCAGCCACATGAAGTGGAGGCTGATTGGCATCTCTGACAAGAAAATACGGATATAATACTATTCTGCAGAGAGGACATCATTAAAAGAGGGAGCTGCTTATGTAACTAATCATCTGGTTGTCACACTAGGATTTTTTTACACCTTCCATAGGTTGCAAATCAGTTTGTTTTGGCAATTGGTAAATAAACAAAGTCTTTATTGACAAGTGTGATTTCTCAGATACAGTGGTGCCTCGCAAGACAGGCACTCCATTTAACAACAAATCCGCATTACGAGGTTTTTGCGATCGCAAAACGACGTTTTGAATGGGAGAATTTCGCTGCACGATAATCGGTTCCGTTTCGGGAACTGATTTTCGCTTCCCGACGATCAAAACAGCTGATCGACAGGTTTTCAAAATGGCCGCCGGGTGCTCAAAATGGCTCCCCGCTGTGTTTAGGAGCCATTTTTCGCTGCACAGACACCTGAAAATGGCCGCCCCATGGAGGATCTTCGCTGGACGGTGAGTTCTTGGCCGATTGGAACAGATTAACCAGGTTTTAATGCATTTCAATGGTTTTTTAAAATTTTCGCTTTACGACATTTTCGTTCTACAGCGATTTCGTTGGAACGAATTAATGTCGTAATGCGAGGCACCACTCTACAAGGATCTGCTTGAATCACATCCCTGGAATATTAACATGATTGAAACTTCTAACAGTGTGGTATCTGTAACATATAATACAGCCTTACCTGATAAACTCTTGGCGAAGATAAAAAGTATGCTATGCCTGACATCTTGCATTAGCTGAAGGGAATGCAGGACAAAAGCATAACAAGTAAACCACTAGATCAAGATAGCTCAATGGTTTAGGTATCTGGCTGCAGAGCCAGAGGCTGAGAGTTTAATTCCTCATTGTGCCTCCTGTGAGTAGAGCCAGCCTGTGTGGTTATTCATGGGCAAGCGGTACAGTCCCAGGGCACTTCCAGAAGGGAACAGCAAACCACTTGTGAGTATTCTCTACTTGGAAAACTCGGAAAACAGTCACCGTAAGTCAGAATTGACCTGACGGCACATATTACTATTAGATCAAGGAAAAGAAACAGGCTGGTCCACTTATCATGAGGCTGAGCAAATTCACCTCTGGCTGTGGCAGGAGTGAAGGCACTACTGTGTTTTCCCCTTCCTTAGAGGGGCACTCTCTCTGAGATGAGGCACAGATGCTGGCAGAGGTTAAGAAATTATCACTGCATCATCTTCATTTTGTGGTGGGGAGGGATGACCACTGCTAGTCCTTCTTCCTGTACCTCTAGTGGTGGTGGGGTGTTCAGGCTGCCGCCACTGCACCTCACTTTCTGCCTCAGTTAAAGAGCCCCTAGTAAGAGATGTTGCTGTAGTTTTGTGAATAAGCATGCTGTGTTCCACATATACTGTTTTTCAAAACTACTAGCTTGTCAAAAACAGAAGATTTGAACACAGTATTTGGATTTTTGCTCCATCAGATCATACAAGGAATCAAAGGATCCTAGACCTAGAAACGGCACATAAGGCCATAAAGTTCAACCCCTGGTTAATGAGGAAATCTACACCTCCAGGGCTACAGGCACTTCTTCAGAACATCCATTAACCAGAAATACAAGAGTAACTGAAAGGAAGACTATTAAAGTTTGACATTCTAAGGAGTAAAGCAGGAAACTTTGCTAGATGTTTACTCAGGCATTCTCCTGCAGGACCACTTTGGGTAATATGAGCCCTACACCTGCTGTACAATCTATATGTCATCTACATTGGAAGTGTCTAGTAATGGTTGTCCACAACATTGCCTTTTCCATAGTTACAACAAACATATACTTACCATAATCTGACAATGTTGTATTTTGAGATGGTGGAGGATAAGAATAAACATAGGGGAAGAAGATTGCCAAATGTCTGTTACTATCCCTGCTCTTATATTTATTTCTCAGAAACAAGTCCGACTGAGTTCAGCCAAACTGTTTATTCATTCTATTTATATACAATGCTCCATTGTCAGTCCAACATCAGAAATATGGGAGTGATTTTATTTTAGAAGCTGCTAGTACTTCCAGAAATTTATTTGGGTAAACCATCTTGTGGATGTATTATTTTTATAATTACCATACTTTTTGACATTTTATTTGTAGGAATGTAAAGAACAGTCACACAATTCTTTATTCTCATAGATTTTGCTTGTTTCAACTTGACAAAACATTTCAACCCGAGAAATTTCTCAGCTTCAAGCAAGAATAAAACAGACTGCTATTCTTTCTCATCAGAATCTCCATAATTTCCATAACCTGCCTGTTTGTAAAGCTAGTGCCCTTCAGCTTTGAGAAATAAAGCATACACACACAGCAAGCAGACAACAGAGGGCTGATTATGTTAAAAATACAAACAACTCCTCCGACCTTCAGAAGTCACTACAACAAAGCAGCTATTATAATCATTTTGTGCATGTTGCCTTAAAACATTATTTTGCTCAACTTTTCTTAATTTGCACAAAATTTATTCTTGCTGTCTTTTCTGTCAAAAATGTAACAAAATGCCTTCCCTTTTGTAGTTCTAAGAAAACAGTTTTGCAGTTCCTTGGAAAAGAAATAAAAGAAGGATTTTATTCTTGTTGCCACCTCCTGTAGGTATCCGTCCGTCTTGAGAAACTATGGCAACGTGCTCTGAATAGAGATCTTGGAACAGTGTTGAGTGTGGCTGAGAAGGCCAATTCGAGAGTGACCATCGCTTCCACAATGAGGACAAATACAATCTGTCCCCTGTCCAGCTCCTTGATTTTGCTGCTTCCGGGGCTGCCTCTTTGCCTCGGCCTGCTGGACAAGGGACTCTTCAAATTGGGAGAGGCCATGATGCACTGCCTGCCTCCAGGCTGAATGCTCATGCTCAGATAACAAATTTCAAAGTCAGGCTGTCCAGATCCTTGAAGTATTTATAATTTAGTAAAATTGGTAAGTTTTGAAATAGAAATAACAGTTTTGTTAGTATCATCATTTTTATTGTTGAGACTCTTCCTATCATGGAGATTTGTAGCTTATTCCATTCTTCCAAGTCTTTCTGAATTTCCTTCTGCATTGTAAAATAATTTTCTTTCATCAAATTACTTGGGTTTTTTGTAATAGTAACTCCTAAATATTTTGCTTTCTGTACCTCCTCGAAGGTAGTTTTCCTTACCAGTCTTTCCACGTCTTATTTGTTTTTAGTCATAAACTTTTTAATAAATAATTTATTTTAAGACTTGCCACAGCTCGGAATTCTTCTATAATTCTCATTAATTCTTTCAAACTGTCCAGAGGGGTTTCTAGTATTATTGCTAGATCATCTGCATATGCTTGCAGCTTAAATTCATCTTCCCTGATTCTGAGACCCTTAATTTCTGCATTCCCTCTTATTTGTCCGTTTAGAATTTCTGATGTTAGAATAAGTAATAGCGGGGAGAGTGGGCAACCCTGCCTTGTGCCTTGTTCAATTTGAATATTTTCAGTTACTTGGCCATTGATTTTGATCCTGGCCTTCTGTTTAGTATATATTGCTTTAATTGTTTCTAGAAAAGTTCCTTCTGTCCCCATCTTCTTTAATTGCAGCAATATAAACTCCCAGTTGACATTATCAAAGGCCTTTTCTGCATCTAAAAAGATTAACATTATTTGCTTTTCTGGATGCATTCCATTATTTATTTATTTATTTATTTATTTAATTTCTATCCTGCCCATCTAGTCGTTTCGACTACTCTGGGCAGCATACATCAAACCCAACAAAGACAATTAAAATAATATCAACATCCAAAAATAAAATAATCGTTCAAGATGGCAAACAAAAATAAATCAAATAATAGCCAGAGGGAGGTCTGCCTAAACAGCCATGTTTTTAATTGGCTTTTAAAGACACCCAGCGAAGGGGCTATACAGATCTCTGAAGGTAAGTTGTTCCACAACCGAGGAGGCACCGCTGAGAAGGCCCAGTTTCTTGTTTTTTTCTTCTGGGCCTCTCTCGGCGTTAGGCCCCTCAGTCACACCTCCAGACTAGATCTAGTGAAACGAGTAGACTTTGGTGGGAGAAGGCATTCCGTCAAATAACGAGGTCCTAAACCATTTAGGGATTTATAAGTAATCATTAAGACTTTGAAATCGACGTGGAAGCGTACAGGCAACCAATGCAACGCAGCCAGAGTGGGAGAGATATGATGATGCTTCCATACCCCACTAATAAGTCTGGATGCCGTATTCTGCACCATCTGAAGCTTCCACTTCAGTCTCAAAGGTAGCCCCACGTAGACTGCATTACAGTGGTCTAATCTCGAGATACAAGTGCATGAACTAAAGTGATGAGTGTAATGATATGTGTTTTTGAAGCTGGTTTATGTAGTCATATAATTGTCTTAATGGCATCCATTTTGAATCA